TCCTGCTAAATTCTGTTAGCTCATAACATTCTGAGCAGTGCTCATTTTATCATTCTGAAATTGTACATACACATTCTATATTTTTAAAATTTATTTTTTAGTTGTAGGCGAACACAATACCTTTAATTTTCTTTTTAATGTGGTGCTGAGGATTGAACCCAGTGCCTCACACATGCGAGGCGAGCACTCTACCACTGAGTCACAACCCCAGCCCACATCTGTATTTGTGTGTGTGTGTGTGTCGGGGGGGTGCTAATGGTCAAGGTCCTTGGGCATGCTAGGCAAATGCTTTACCATATAACATGTTTAATGCTGATAGGAGTGATCTAGTGGAGAGAAGAAATCAGATGTTCAAAGGACAGAAGAAATAACGCAAGGCCTGGAGGAGAGGGGACCCAGGGGCAGGAAGGGGCTGGCTTGACAGCAGTCGGAAGCTTCTCCCATGGAAACATGCCTAGTGACTCGAGGTACAGTCTGGTGAATTTGTAGATTGGGAGACTGAAGGTCAACTGCCCAAATTCTCTCTATATTTTTATGGAGGTATAAAGTGAGGTTCTCAACTAAAAGTTATGTGTGGAACATGAGTGAGACTTGGAGAAAGAGGTCTGAGTGACATCCAGGGGAGTGGGAAGGCAGCCCTACCAGGGAGCTGGAGTAAACCATGGTGAGTGTTGAGTGCCCATTTGAGGCTTGTTCAAATTAAGCCAGTCAGCCCCGTTGTGTGATTTCCCTCTAGCAACTTTCAGCTCATCAGCCTTAGACACAGAGCCTGCCATTATACTTTACAAAGGGGTTTTGATGTAAATGGAGGGTCCTGAGGAGGAAATGATTTGATTATTGACTGCTGTAGTTTGGACTGCAATGTTCCTCAGAAGTTCATGTATTGAAAGCTTGGTCCCTAGTGCACCAAGGTTCAGAGGTGGGGCTTTGAGTCAGTGATGGGATCATGAGGGTTCGTCCCTCCTCAGTGGATGAACCCACTGATAGCTGAATGATATAGTGGGAGATGGGCCCAGATGGAGTGCGGCAGTTTGGCTGGGCACAAACCACGAGCCACTCAAGCAGGAACAGAATTTATTTCCAAACTCCGGTGAAGACCACCAACGCGGCCCTTCCAGGAACACCACACACCAACCGGAACTCCCTCCACCGGAACTCCACCAACCAACGTGATCTCTCCAGGAATTCCCCCCCCCCCCAGAGCTCAACCGGAACTCCCTCCACGGGAACTCCACCAACCAACGTGATCTCTCCAGGAATTCCCCCCCCCCAGCTCAACCGGAACTCCACCGGAACTCCATGAGAACTCAAAAGTAGCGGGTGCCTGAGGCAGCAGGAGCCGCCCTATTGCCAGACAGCAGGGGTCTAATATACAACTGAATACACAGACTGTTTCAATCCAGCATCATCCAGTCACAGCAATTATACACAGCTTAACTTAATTATCATCATCTTAATGGCTCGCTGGCATCACCTCTCAACCATTACTTCTGGCAAAATGCCAGGGACCATTCCGACTCGGCTGTGGCTCTCAACAATGGAGGAAGTAGAAGGAAGCCCTGGAAGGATCTTGTCCCAGCTCCTTCCTCTCTCTCCTGTCTCTCTTTTGGCTTCCCAGCTGCCGTGACTGATAGCTTTCCTCCTTCACACGCTTTCATGATCACCTTGGGCTCAGAGCAGTGGAACTGGCTGACACGGACTGAGACCTCTGAAACTGTAAGCCAAAGTAAACATTTCCTCCTCCACTATGTTCTTACCAGGTATTTTAGTCAGTGACAAAAATGTGACTAACACATTGGTCATAAAATTGAGGCTGGGGGAGAAGAAAAATAATGGGGGTGGGGAGAGAGTAAAGTGCTGGATTTAATGAATTTGGGATCTTGATAAGGTCAAACAAAGACCAGTGTAGGGTGCTGGGGCAAACTAGGGAATTAGTGGAGCAAAATGCTTGAAACTAAAATTTCGGAAGTGGTTTAGAACATGACTAGTTGAAATTTTCAGTGCACCACTTGAGAAGATAGACTGGGACATTGACAGTGGTCCTCAACTGAGGACAGGACTGCCTCCCCCTGGGGATGTGTGAAAGGGGTACAAGGGGACATTCACTGTGGCAATGACTGTGGAGGGAGTGAAATGCTGGTAACTGAGGGACAGGGTGTAGAGAAGACAAGAAGTCTTGTCATGTGCAGGACTGCCTACTACAAACTGTCCTGCCGTCTGAGAGCCCCATTGAGAAACACCAAGCTAGAGGGTTGGGATCTGTGTGAATGCAGTCACTGAGGAATGGTGACAGAAAAAGGCTGGAGAAGAAGGCATAAGAGCAGGAAGACGGGGAGCAGCAGGTGACAATGAGAGGGGTGGGAGGAGGAGCTGGCAGAATGGGACAGCACGGTTTCCGTGGGCCTGGAGATTTTGAGGGAGCGGGCAATGCTATGGAAGCAGCAATGGAGATGGAGGGCACAGGTGCCGAGGGAGAACGCTGCTTGAAGGATAGCCAGGTTTCAGATACAGCAGAATGTTTTTGAAGCATTTAAAAAAGTGATGATCAGTGGGGGTATTGCCTGTCGCGGATTTAGCTTCTGGGGCACAGTGGACAATGGGACAGTAAAGAATGAATAGAGTGCTGGCCAGATGAGGGCATGTACAGAATAGGTGGGCACAAGGGTCCAGGGCAGGATGGCCTGTTTGGATAGTCATTCGCACGCCGACCAAAATTACTTTTCCTAACTTGTTCTTCATTCCTATGGAGTAGTACTCTTGCAGTGCAGAGTGAGTAAAGCAGGCCTCCCTCAGGCTTCTTCAGTGTTGACTGAGGTAAAGAGGATTGGGTACATGACGTCTTTCACAGGAAGGAAGGTGGCTATCAATTGAAACAATAGTCCAGAAACCTTAGAGCATGGGTCAGGGACCAGTAACTATTTTTTGTAGCAACTCAAGAGGGTTCAAGTTCATGCTTTATTTATTGGGGTTGTTACTTCTTTCAGAATTTTTTATGGGTTGAGTTAAACCCAGTAGAGATTTAGAGAATTTAACCACACTTCTACTGAAATTTGGAGAGGAACCAACTATCAGGTCCTTCAGACATTCTCCTGTCCAAACTGCCTGATAGTCACTTATCCAGGAAATTCTCTCTGGGCAGAGTAGGCTTAAGCCATATAGAATCAAGTCTTACGGAACAAAGCAGCACTGCTTGGATTATGTACACACAAGTCACTCAGGGATCTTGCTAAGATGCTGATTCGAATTCACTAGGCTTACAGTGAGCCAGTCTCCGTTTCGAGAGTAGTATGCTCGAATATAAAGCTTTAGAATTGCTAGATTTAGGGGCTAGGGTTGTGGAAGAGCAGTACTCTTCCAGTGCAGAGCGAGTAAAGCAGGCCTCACTCATGCCACTTGAGAAGTCTAGCTTTGTGACTGATAATTTTATTCCTGAGTCTACATGTTTATAAGGTGCTAAGGACAGCCTAATGTATAGCTATGGCTGCTGCACCTGAAGATTTTCCAGGTAATAAATCCCACGGACCACCTGGGAGTTTGAGATGTGATAGAAACAATATGGCAGCCAATGACTTCCCCAATAAGGGGTGCTAAGGGAGTTGGAGTGAATGTATGTAGAACCATGCAACAGTTCCTGAAAAAGGGGGTCAGGTGTCCCGGATCTTAAAGATGGCAGCCCTACCTACTCCATCCAACAGTATAGGAGTGGGTAAATTCTTATTGGGACCTTGAAACCTTCCCAGATCAGGACAAGGCTGCAGAGTACTGGTGGGCTCATAGGGTCTCTGGAAAATGAATTGACTCCCTGACCTGGTTGAGRGGAGGCTCCTAACATTTCTTTCATGTTCCCTTTGGCCTTGACAGGAGGGTAACTATTCAAATTGCCAGTGTAGTTTTAAGTTATGATCCTCTTTGGAAAGACTCTTCCTTTGAGGAATACATTAAAGTGGACAGACTTGAGAAGGTTTCGTATTTCTCTGGATTTTGAATCTATAAAGAAATAAGTAGTTGTTTGTCACCAACTTACCTTTTGCAAAGCATAGCAAGAAGTCATTAATTTTTACTAGTACACACTTCTGCAAGGTTTGAACAAAGTTAATACCTGGGTGATAAGAAGAACTTCAGAAACAGATAATAATGGGGGCAGGGGAAGGCTGCTGTTCCCCAGTGTTCTTGACATCGTTTCTGAAGGCAAGATACTGAAGTTGCTTTACTAGATCTGAGTTGGTAACCTTATTGCAGTCTTTTAAAAAAACTATATTAGACTAGGGTGACAGGTCCCCTTTAGTTCTTCTTCCTGAGGGGAGAATTGATGAATTGTAACTCATTCTTACTTAGCAAAGAGTGGATGAGCATTGACAGACCACAAAAGACTGCTATTTGTTTACTTAACAATACTTAGTTCAAAGGAAGTTTTTAAATTAGTGGAGACAGCTAGTACAAAAGTCAGTGGGGGAGAAAGGAAGAGAGTCAGGTTGGAGGGGCCAAGCACAACAGGTTCACGGGAAATAAGGAACTCAGTCACCCAGGCTCCTACTCAATTGCTACTTTAAGATGGGCGAGTGTGTAGGGCTCTTCCTCTGTAGGTCTCTCCTTGTGTTCTTGGGGAGTCCCAGCCTGCCTCTACTCCTCAAGAAGTCTGAGCAGGCATCTGTGGCTTGTGAGCAGGCGTGGCTATGTGCTCTTTGAGAGTTAGGGTGCTGGCCCCTTGGGCTTGAGGGAGAGCAAGAGGAATATATGTGAATAAATATAGTAGGAAAACATGATGGAGAGGGGGTGGCCATGTTCCCGTAGATAGGGTTCTTGGATTTTAGAAATAACCTCCCACTCCACCCCCAACACAAATACACAACAGTGTAGTCTCCTGTAAGTAAGAAAGCACAATAAAACATTTCTTATAAAAGTATTTTTTAATAAATTGATGTATTTCAATGTTGTAACATGATAGCCAATGCTATATCAAGGTAGCAAAAGTGAAGATTCCTGGTATTTTTATATAAACACTATGAATGACAGTACGTTTGCATTCAACTTCACAAGAAATTATCTTCAGGTCTATGAAGATTCTTTGACAGCTGTAACACCTTTTGATAGTAAAGATGTATGTGTATGGACCGAGTAGACAATTAAAGTCTAACAATTGAGCTGCATTCTTAAAACATACTGAAGAAAAGAGGATACAATGGCAGATGGCCAACTTGTTGAATAAATCTGAAATCTTTTAAACTTAGTCATTTAATGAAAATATAGCATGTATCAAAATTAAAGGGTATTTTACAGAAATGGAGCCATAAAACATACAGATTAGAACCCTGAAGCAGCGAATGTGTTTCTACCCGTTTTGTGATGGAAGAAGCCATGGAAATAGTCCTGCAGCTGTCTGTGGTGCTGAATCTCCCCATACACACAATGCTATCAATTGACTAAAACCAGAATTCCCTGCTCTGTACAAATGCTGGTGATGGGTAACTTATGCTATTGCTGTGGGTCAGAGCAATAGTTGGCTGGAGTTCAGGCGTCAAGTGGAGGCGCTCTAGGATTGTACACCGCCTTCTACACTTCCACACGTCACACTTTCCAAAGCTGATGCTCCCTTCTTAGGGTTAAAGAACCCCTAGGGTATTTAAAACAAACAGCAGAAACCAGAAACTTTTGACCTAATACTATTATTACCGTCTAACCCACCAGGAGAGATATGTTTCACTTGGTTACAACAAAAAGTATATTCCACTAAACTGATTGCATGTATATTAATAACTAGATTTTTGACATGAGATTTCTTCTTAGAGATCAGATTGAGAACAAGATTTGTTTCCTCTAAGGGTGAGGAAAAGTAGGTTAAATTAATTAAATTCATTCTCAATTTGAACTGTAGAGAAGGACCTTCAGAGATTTTCTGAAGTAACATATATTTCTTTCTCTCAAACTCAAGTACAATTAGATTGCAAGGAACCTCAGGTCCAGAATTTTATCTGCTGATAGTGTGGCCCAAGGCCACTAATTATTTCTACAATGACCCTTTATACTATTTTTAAACTCCAAATGCTGCAGATGCAGATGAAAGTAAATACAACAAAATAACAATAAATTCATTTGTGTGCTGTGTTGCCGAAATATGGATAAACACAGATGGGATGTTTCTGTCTGTTCACCAAGAGGTATCCAACTAATGCCTAGTCCTGTGGGTCAGTACCCAGGTTTAAAACATGTACATTTGAATAGATTAGAAAACTGTAATCCACATTGTTATAAAAATCCCAAGCCAACTGCATCAAACATTTCCTACTAACATGGGTTTTGGTACTTTCAGTGAACAACTTCCTGTTAGAGCTTTAATGTTTTTTCAAGTCAACACTTCATAAAGATCATATATTTCTTTCTATCACATCTTTGAAAGAGGTGCTTAAATTACTGAGAGTAATTTGTAAAGACTTTCCTCTCTGGAAACAGAACAGTCAAAAAGTAGAGTGGCTTCATTTTCCTCAGGCTAATGCTTATAACCCAAGGTTTATTTTCCCTATTAAGAGGGTGTGCTTAAGTTGATAAAAATCAATCAAAATTAGCTTATGTAAAAGTTAAAAATGTAGTTTACTGAAAGCTATGTATAGTCACATAGAGCAATAGTAAATAATTGAATCTGAAAGTTTAAATAAATGTAAATAACTTCAAAACTAACTATATATATAAAGCTGAAGTCACTGCCTTGGATCATTTATATACTACATCCAATATTTTACCTAGGACATTCATTCTTAAGGCAGAAAAATTGAATTTGACATGTAATGACTTGCTTCTTACATCCAAGGGTCAAACTGGGAGTAGACTCGAGCAGACAGCTCTTCCTTGCTATGAGGATTTGTCTGTGGCAACAGTTTCATTCTGAGAGTATGTTAGGTAAGAGACAGACATTTGAAAGAACATAGATAAATTTGAGACATACAAATATGGTTTTAGTAAGAGGTCAATGAGAACAGGCATTCTATTATGAGGTGAAACTACTCCCAAGACAAACTAACAAACTCTGACATACTCTTTCTGATATAGTACATAAAAAAGTATGAAATATCAAAGAATTACCTTTTTTGGGGTGTGTTTCTTTAGACTCTAGTTTTCAAGGTCTAGTATAAAAGGCAGCCTGAATAGTTAAGAGCAGTTGAATGTCAACTCAAACTGCTACTCGAAGGCTACCACTTAGGATATTCCTACCCCATCAACAAAAACCTGTGTGGGGAGGAAATTATAATGTATTAAAATGAAAGTGAAACCCCTCCCCCAACACATGTGCAAAAACACTTGTCAGTTACAAGAAGACTATCTTCAACAAAAACATCTTAATTATAGAATCAGAGGCATCAAAGCCAGACAGACACAAGAACTCCACCCTGCCCAGGTGGATGGATATTTGGGATGAAACCAATGGTTCCATGGGCACCTTGGGAGCTGTGCTACTCAGAGTGGGAGGAGTGTAAAAAGGAACTGACCCAGGGTCCCGAGCCCTCGGGGCTGTATGTGCTCCTTCATATCAGGCCAGTTTGGTTCTCTGCATCCTGGTGCCAAAAATGTTAATAAAACAAAAACAAGTCTAAAAGACAATTCTTAAGCAGGTGATGGTAACTATAATTGTGTAAGTACCTTTTTGTGTGCCTAAAATTTATGCTGTAGCTCTGGTATTTATCAGGAAGTGTACAAAGATTACCTGCCTAATTTTTGAAGACGAAGATTTTCTTCTTTCACGGTGGCAGAAGTCCATGCAAGATTTGTAAACAGCAATACAAAATACTGTAAACATAACTTAACAGAGCTTGTATAAAACAAGAAGTAACTCCAAATTTACAAGTGGGTAAAAAAAACCGAGGGCAGCTTCATACAAAGTTCTCCCTCCTGCGCCAAGTGATTTGTTTTTGATTACAAATATAATCCTGAGCTGAAAAACTGGGATTTGGGGGAGAGCCATCTTTGCATACGAAATATCCAAAGGATGCTTACTCTGTTTACTTTTCTCTAGTGATATTCAACTGCCAGTGACAGTTCTGAAGGTGTGACTTTGGAGACATTTATAGTTTAGTGTGGCGCCCGGGTCTGGAGCCTGCTGTAGCACTTGCCATGGCAGCAGATGCTGCAGCATCTTCTGCTTCTTCCAGTTCATCCTGGAGCTCTTGGCTGACACTAGACTGCAGGGCTGCAGGAGTGAGCCACTCCTTTGGGAGGCAACTCTGTAGAAAGGGTATACAGGAGCTGAAGTAGGCAAGTCGATTGATCCAGCGCGGAATCTCTTTCCCACAAAGAATCTACCGAGGAGAAAGAGTTCTGTATTAGGTAAGAGAGAGGTCAAGGTTATCTGGTCAACAGCCAAGGAAGCAGAGGAGAGGAAGAAGGTGAATGTACAGAAAAGCCACAGCAGACCAGCCTTCAGTGCTGTCACTCCTGGCTTTTGATGAGAAGCAGCTCCTTAACTCAGGAGCCTGGGGTCCCTTCTGTCAATTCCACTCCTTCCTTTCTGAAGAGCCTTGTCAAACGGCTTACTTTTTATGTCTGTAAAATCTAGTTAATTCCACTGGGCTGCTTCCTTTCTTTGATTCTTGAACTTCTCTGAGACACATGTAAAAGTACTTTGAACAACACAGAAGAGACACTCGTTAATACAAGATATTATTAGAGCAATTAAAGCCCCAGGCAGTTGGAAGAGTTAATCTTGGGTATTCTCCTTTTTCATAGATTCTTTACTACATTCCTCCAGTCTGTATCACCCCATTTTCCCCAGAAACTTCTGTGCCTGACCCACTTGTTTGTAAGAAGCTCATACTATTCCATAAAGAAATGTCCCCAGTGAATATTATGGTCAGAACAAGCCATGGAAATTTGGCCAAGCTTGTCTTAAGGCTCTAGTGCCAGGAGGAATCTCTTTCAACTGATGATCTGCTACATCTCTTTGCCCATTTATCATCTTTCTCTTGTCTTCAGTGCACCTGAGCCCTTTCCCCTCATTTCAAACAGTAAGCTAGGTTTTTTATAATGCTAAATTTACTTTTTATTATCCTCTCCCTCTTGCACACAACCCTAATTGAGTCCCTGGTTCCACTTCCACTTTGGTGCTTTTGCCTCCAGTCATGCCAAAGATTATGATCATGTGATCTAAAATTGTCATCTTAAATATCTGTGTATCTTTAGTTAATGACCTTGCAAAGGAGTTTCAAAATACCTATGTCCAAAAATGAGTTAAAACTTAGAAAAAAGATGGGCATCAGTAATTATGCAACATTACCCCACCACCCCACCAGAGATTTAGCTGTACCCCTTAATGGTCACTACAGGTATTTTGAATAGGAAAAGTGAGATAATTTCACTTGAGGGAAGGGAGTGTGTTCTGCTTATTTTTGATTATTTAACACCCATCYCAGTGCCTGAGAGTACAGAGAGGCAGACAGTATTTAAAATGTCTGAAGAATGTGTACACGGACTAGATCTGGGAGAAAAGGGGCAACAACCTTATATGATACCATTCCTGTCTACTCTTTTWAAAAAAATATTTTTTAAAATTGTTGATGGAACTTTATTTTGTTTATTAATTTATTTATATGTGGTGCTAAAAATCGAACCCAGTGCCTCACACATGCTAGGCAAGGGCTTTATCAATGAGCCACAATCCTAGCCTTATCTACTCTTTTTTTTTTTATGTGGTGTTAGGAATTGAAACTAGGGCCTTGTGACATCTGTCTATTCTTAAAAGCAGTGGTAAACCTGAAAGGTATTTAGGGATATCTACATACTTTGAGATTAATCAATTTGTGACTAAAAATATTTAATGTGTTAGCCACTGCTGTTTAAGTCATTTCCCTCATCATTCTTCTTTTTGAGTATGAATTTTATTCTTTCATATTTTTCCATGTGTTACAGGCAAAGCTGACTTCATCCCAATCTTTGGCTTGATTAGCCTGAAATAGTTACATAATATACAGCCATCTATTTTCTAGATGAAATTTTATTGGAATAGCCATGTCTAACTCATTTAGGTACTGCCTATGATTCTTGGACTATTAAGGCAGAGGCAGAGTTGAGACCATGAACAACAGTTCATTTATAAGCCTAAAATATTTACTATCTGGCTCTTWAAAAAAAAAAAAAGTGACAACACCTGGGTCAAGTTTTGAAAGCTTTGGGTCAAGATCTATTAGTAGGTCACTTAGCATTATACAACCTGAATTTTTAAAACAAAACAAAAACTGTTGTTGATAGTGATGAAACTGATATTATATGTATAAACTGAGTCATAATATAAAATTTACTTCTTACTATGGTTAGGATTCAAAAAGTATTTGTTTTAAACAACATGATTTCTAGGAATCCATTTCAGAGATATACTGGCAAAAATAAAGAGTTATGCATAAGATATTCATTACAGCACTCTCTGCAATAGAAAAAGACTAAAATAACCCAAGTAACATTAATGGGAATTGGTTGAATAAATTGTGGTACATCCACATAGGACTATTCAGCTGAGAAAAGAAATGAGAAATTTCTCTGTTGCAGAATGAATCTAGGCTGTTTAGGAGTCCTTCCTTATCCATAGTTTTACTTTCCACAGTTTCAGTTACCTGAGGTCAACTGAGGTCTGAAAATATTAACATATGTCTTGAGACCATGTTTACCTAACTTATAGTATACTATCCCAATTGTTCTATTTTATTAGTATTGTTAATCCCTTATTATGCCTAATTTATAAACCAAACTTGATCACATGGAAAACTAGTAGAGGATTTGGTACTATTTGTGGTTCCAGGCATGCACTGGGGCTCTGGGAATGTATCTCCCTTGGAAAATGGGGTATTGCTGTATTGCTAAGTTAAAAAAAAAAAAAAAAAAAAAGGAAAAGTGGAGAAAACTGTGAATATGATGCTCCCAAAATATAATGTTGGGACAGAATAACAATAATTGACATTCTAAATCAAAAAGAGAGAAAAAGAAAGGAAGAAAGGAGTCATTTGTTCCAAATAATTTTGAAGTCCAACTGCGTAACCTCCATAGGTTTCTCACTCTGCCCTTTGGGCCCCTGATCCTGTCCCTGGAGTCAAACTTTCTCTGGTCTATTTTATGTCTAGAATTTTCAGTCTTGAGTCTTGTTTTCATTTTGTCCTCCCTCTATACTTTCAGTCCAAGCTGCCAGYGTTCCTGTTAATATAAATGTAATGGGTCTCTTGTGTGTTGTTGTTTTTGGGTGGGGTGGGGTGGACGCGACGGGAGTACCAGGGATTGAACCCAGGGGTCTTAACCACTGAGCCACCAGTAGCCCCCAGACCTATTTAATTAATTAACTAATTAATTAATTATTTTGAGATCACTAAGTTGTTCAGGGCCTTGCTAAATTGTTGAGGCTGGCTTTGTACATGTAATCCTCCTGCCTTGGCCTCCTGAGCTGCTGGGATTACAGGCATGTGCCACTGTGCCCAGCAGACCTCCTGTTTGTCATGGGATCGCCTCCATTAGACAAGAGAATCCTTTCGCAGATCTTTTCTGGATAATTCATCACTATTTTTGGTTTCTGCTGAGATGGTTGAAAGGATCCATGAATCATACATTTAATCCCTGTAGCAGCTGGAAAGGCAGTTCAGTATAACCTTAGACTTCTTTCTATAGCATGCTTTCCTAACAGTAAAGTTCTAGATTTTAGCATCTTTTGCAATCTGCATAGGATGAGGATTCCCAAATCATCAAATAATGATTCCTTTTTTTGCTTAACAGTTTTCCAAACTTATCAATCTTTTCATGGTTTAATATAAGCATTAAGAAGAAAGTAGGGGGCTGGGATTGTGGCTCAGTGGCAGAGTACTTGCCTCGCATGTGTGAGGCACTGGGGTTCAATCCTCAGCACCACATAAAAATAACTAATAAATAAGTACTGTGTCCATTTACAACTTAAAAAAAAAAAGAAGAAAATAGGTGGCACTTCTATACTTTGCTTGGAAATCTCAGCTAAATATCCGAGTTTACTGCTAACAAGTTCTGCTTTTCATACAACTATAAGGAAAAATTCAGTTAAGCTTTCTGCCACCATGTATCAAGGATACCCTTTTGTCTAGTTTTCAATAGCATGTTCCTCATTTCCTTCTGAGCCTTGACTAGCAGCACCTTTAATATCCATGTTTCTATTAATAGTCTATACAAGGTTAATCTAGGCTAGGCTTGGCTTTTTTCTGTCAAACACTTCAAACTCCAGCCTTTATATCTCCCTTAATAACTCTAAAATTATTTGTATGTTTTTAGGTATTTGTTATTATATAGCACCCTATATTTCCAGGTACTGACATTTGTACTAGCACCCTATGGCTGCTTTAACAAATTACAGAAACTTGGTAGATTAAAATGTGACAAATAAAAAAAAAATACCATAAATTAAAGTTCTGAAAGTCAAAGAAGGGTACAGGGGAGTGAAATGGAAGTTAGATTTCCATGAATATACTACCACATTTTTTAGATCTGACATTGGAACCATGGAAAGAATTTATATAAAACAAAATTAAATTTTAAAACCCTATTTCTTAAAAAAAAAGATAAACAGATAAATCTGCAGCTCAATGGTAAAGCACTTGGCTAGCGTGTGTAAATCTTGGGTTTGATCTGCAAAAAAACAAAGGGGTAACAGAACAAAGGAGATTAATTCATTACTGAGTTGAGTTGGTGGTAAAACTAAAGAGAGAAATGATTCTAATTTGCTGTGAAACACAAATTTGTATGTCTTTAAATAAGTTATACTCTTAAGGACTGAATAAACTCCCCAAACCTACAACTTTCTAGTAATGATATTGTTGTTAACTGCAGTGGTGATGCTATTATTCTAAAGCTGCTTTAGGTATGGAAAGATAAAACAAAATGAGTAATTATGTTCTTGTTGCTGACAACTTGGATTTTTTGACTTGAGATAGAGAACACACAGACATTATACTGATAAGGTTAAGTTAAAGCCCTATGGCCTGAATTTGTGGTAAAAACATTACCATGAATCTACAAAAAGTCCTACTTCTATCTACTAGGGGAAAAAAAAAATCTAGAACCTACTAGCAATTTAGTAGTAATGAGCAGATTAAAGTTTCTAAGTATTTCTTATCAGAAATAAGCCTGGAATATCTTGTTATACTAGGAAACAAAAAGGTAATCAAAGATTATTTAGAACAAACCAGGAACCTTCTCAAAGAGGATCCCACTGATCAAAGATGGGTCAAGAATAAAATTGGTAACCTTTGGAGAATTCTAGGGAGGGAACTGTTCCTAAAAACTACCTTTAGTTTTGATGATA